GGAGGAGGAGGAGGAGGAGGAGGAGGAGGAGGAGCAGGAGGAGGAGCAGCAGGTGGATGAGGATACTCAGAGCGGACTAGAGCAGGCCAGGGAACCAAGTCGAGCGGGCCGAAGGTGGGAAGTACACGCCAGCATTCAATGGATCACGTTGCTGCAGGTATGGTTCCTCCTCCTCCTCCTCCTCCTCCTCCTCCTCCTCCTCCTCCTCTTCGCTCCCTCCCTCCCTCCCTCCCTCCTCCTCGTCCTCCTCCTCCTCCTCGTGCGAAAGAAAAGCACGACGCCGGGGGTCTGTGGATCGAGGTTCGAAGATCGAGGTATGCGTAGTCTGCGGTTCCTTTTTTCCAGACCTCGTGGGTCGTGTTTTTTGTTCAACGTGTTGCTTCCCTGAACTTCTTGACCCTTTCCCTTGGGCATGCTCTCCCTCCCGGGTCAGTCCTTCTGTCAGCCCCCGGGCAGGCTGAAACTCACGGAGAGGAGGTTCGTGAACGAGGAGCAGGCCTTGGCCTGGGAGAGGCAGACCAAGAGCGGGCTGGCGGCGATCGAGAAGCAGCTCCACAGGACCGAGCAACAGATCGACCGGGACATGCAGGACATGAACAGGCGCGGGCGGTCGGGGCAGCCCGCTTCGCGCTCTCGTCCTTCCCTCCCCCTCCCCAGGCATCCAGCGGCTTTAGGCCCTCGGAGACCAGTTTTTTGGCCCCCGCGGCCGTCAGCAAAAATAGCTCGAGAAAATGACGGTCCGCGGAAGGTAGTCGAGAGGTTTGGCGGCCACGTCCTGAAACAATTGGGCCGCCGGATTCCCTCTCTCTTGACCCCCCCCTTTCCGTCTCCCCCCTCCTCCTTTTCTCCTTCCCCCGCCCCCTCCTCTTCCTCCTGCTCCCCCTCCTCCTCCTCCTCCTTCTCCCCCTCCTGCTCCTCCTTCTCCTCCCCCTCCCCCTCCCCCTCGCATTTCCCCTCCCTCGACGAGTACACAATCTGAATACTACTCTCTTCTCTCCCCTGATGACGTACGGAAGATGTCTGGCACCCCTTCCGCGTATTCTTTTCTTGCGCACAGGATTCCCGGGAGTTGTGTTTTCGCTTGGGTTTTTTGTTCAAAATGTTTGCCCCGCTGAAGCGCTGGCCTCATTTTCAGGCGTCCGCTCGTTTCGAATCGTGCTCCCGCTGTCGCGCTGGCCTCATTTCCGCGCTTCCGCTCGTTCCGACTCGTGCTCCCGCTGCAGCGTTGGCGTCATTATTTCCAGTGCCATGCCACGGCATGCAATGCAATGCTATGTGGTGTTCCGCTCTGCGATGCCATGAATTCAGCTGCAATGCTAGGATATGCAGTGCTTGACTACGCAGTGCCACGCCATGCTATGCCATGCTACGCTTTGATCTTCAACGCCATGATATGTTATTTTCTCTTATGTGCCGCTGTGCGATGCCATTATTTGCGTTGCAATGCTTTGTGATGCAATTTTTCAGTACGCAACGCCACGCCATGCTATGACATGCTATGCTCTGCCGTGCTCTTCTACGTCCTGCTATGCCGTGCTTTACGATGCATCGCGCACCCCCTCGGGATCACCGCTCTGCTCGACATCCCACAGGGCGAGCAGAGATGAGATCTACGCCAGGGCAAGGGATGGGAGGAAAAGGTAGGACGCCCGACATGACGCGGGCGCACCTAGCTTGCCCCCTCCCCCTCCCCCTCCCCCTCCCCCCCTCCCCCCTCTTCCTTCTCCTTGTCCTCCCCCCTCTTCCTTCTCCTTCTCCTTGTCCCCCCTGTTCCTTCTCCTTGTCCCCCCCTCCCCCCCTCTTCCTTCTCCTTGTCCCCCCCTCCCCCCTCCCCCTCCCCCCCCCCTCTTCCTCCTCCTTGCCCCCCCCCCCCCGCCGCCGGCAGTGGCCCCGAGCCGGGCCGCCCCGCCCCCGAAGATCACCGAGCGCGTTCCACTACTCGCGAAGCGCCGCCTCGCAAACGCCCGAAGCACACATGTCCGCTCTGATGCCTCGGGGGTGGACAGACCTCCTACCCTGACACGTCGATTGAGGAATTGGCCGTTTTCGGTTCGCGAGAGGGCGTCGCGGCCGTCGTTTTTGCGGGTCCAGGTCCGTCGGTTTCGGTCCCAGGCCGCTGTCACTAAGGGGAGGTTTACTACAGGGAGGTTTGTCCACCGCCGAATGTCATTCATCGCAGATGCCCCGCGGGGGGTCCAGGCCATTTGCGAGCAGTTACTCTTTGCGAGTCGTGGCACGCGCTCGTCTATTGAAGAGGTACCTGGTCCGGGCCGAGCGGGTGCTCAAGCGGGAGAAGGAGCTGCAGGAACGCCGGGACGCGGCGATCCCGGAGGAGCTGGAGGAGCGGCTCTTCCGGCGTCTGGGCCTGCTGCTGCCGCTGCTGCCGCTGCTGCTGCTGCTGCTGCTCCGCTGCTGGCGCCTCGTGCCTCATTGCCCCTCCCCAGCTTCTTCTGCTGCTTGTGCTTAAGTCGGGCTCGTCGTTCAAGAAGGCACTTCTCGTAGTGAAGAGGCAGGCTGCTTGTAGGGACTTCTGCCGAGGGAGCTTGTGAAGAAGTGTGTCTCGCAGCATCGTTGAAGCATCCTGGGCTTATTTCGATCTCTCCCTGCTCCTGCGCCCTCCCTCTCTCCCTTTTCTCTCCCTTCTCCCTCCTCCCCCCTCCTCTTCCCCCCCCCTCCCTCCTCCCGCTCCCCCCCCCACCCATCCCTCCATGTCTCCAGGAGTGCTCCACTTGACAGCGCCTGTGCCGACCCCGAAGAACTTTCAGGTGGCGGCCCGCTCGTAGACCTGGCAGGCTGGCCAGGGGCCCCTCCCACTCCCCTCCTCCTCGTCTGTCCTCCCTCCCTCCTCCTCTCCTCTCCTCCCTCCTCCTCCCCCCTCCTCCTCCCTCCCACTCCCCTCCTCGTCTGTCCTCCCTCCCTCCCTCCCCCCCTCCCCTCCCCCCCGGTCCGCCTGCCCGCACCGCCCTGCGCAGGGCGAGCGCGCAGGCCGGGCGCGCCGCGCGCAGGCTTCGGAAGGTGGCTCCCTCGGACGAGGCCAGGATCCGCCTCCCTCGGACGATGCGCGCCGCGCGCAGGCTTCAGAAGGAGGAGGAGGCGGAGGAGGAGGAGGAGGAGGAGGAGGAGGAGGATGAGGAGGAGGAGGGCGAGGAGGAGGAGGAGGGCGAGGAGGAGGAGGGCGAGGAGGGCGAGGAGGAGGAGGAGGAGGAGGAGGAGGAGAGGAGGAGGAGGAGGAGGAGGAGGAGGAGGCCAGGAGCCGCCTCCCCCCTCCTTCACCCCCCCGTGGGCGGGTGGCGGCGGCCTGCGAGCAGCGGAGCACGGACACCTGCCTCAGCGCCGGCGGGGGAGGCCGACCTCTCCCCCAGCACCTCCCCCTCCCCCCCGCACCCCCCCCTCCCCCCAGGAGGAGGAGGAGGAGGAGGATGAGGAGGAGGAGGAGGAGGAGGAGGAGAGGAGGAGGAGGAGGAGGAGGAGGAGGAGGAGAGAGGAGGAGGCGGAGGAGGAGGAGGAGGAGGAGGAGGAGGAGGGAGGAGGAGGAGGAGGAGGAGGAGGAGGAGGAGGAGGGAGGAGGAGGAGAGGGAGGAGGAGGAGGAGGAGGAGGAGGAGGAGGAGGAGGAGAGGAGGAGGCAGGAGGAGGAGGAGGAGGAGGAGGAGGAGAGGAGGAGGAGGAGGAGGAGGAGGAGGAGGAGGAGGAGGAGGAGGAGGAGGGAGGAGGAGGAGGAGGAGGAGGAGGAGGAGGAGGAGGAGGAGGGAAGAGGAGAGGAGGAGGAGGAGGAGGAGGAGGAGGAGGAGGAGGAGGAGGAGGAGGAGGAGGAGGAGGAGGAGGAGGAGGAGGAGGAGGAGGAGGAGGAGAGGAGATGGAGGAGGAGGAGGAGGAGGAGGAGGAGGAGGGAGGAGGAGGAGGACGAGGAGAAGGAGGAGGACGAGGAGGAGGAGGAGGAGGAGAAAGAGGATGAGGGAGGGCAAGGAGGAGGAGGAGGAGGAGGAGGAGGAGGAGAAGCAGAACGAGGAGGAGGCCACCCCCGCGCAGGATCCCGAGCCGCCTGCGCGGCCCCGCCCCGCGGCATCCCCCGCGCCCGCGCAGCCGGCGCCCCCATCGCGGTCGGGACGCAGGCCGCGTCGTCGTCTCGAGTGGGGCGAAGGATGATGGCGATGGTGATAATGATGGTGATGTTGATGATGGTGATGTTGATGATGATCATGCTGATGGTGTTGGCGATAATAATGGTGATGATGCTGATGTTGATGATGATGGTGATTGTGATGCTGGTGATCGTGATTATGATGATGCTGATGCTGGTGCTCATGCTGATGCTGATGGTGGTGATGATGATGGTTATGCTGACGCTGGTGGTGACGATGCTGATTGTGGTGCTGATGCTGATGCTGATGCTGATGATGGCGATGATCATGGTGATGATTGTGATGATGATCGTGATGATGATGCTTATGATGATAATCGTGGTGATGACTGTATGGTGATGATAATGGTGGTTATGATGGTGATGGTGCTGGTCATGGTGATGGTGATGATGGTGCTGCTGCTGCTGCTGGTGATGATCATGATGTTGATGATGGTGGTGCTGATAACAATGTTGATGATGACGATGATGATGACGATGCTGATGAGGATGATGATGATGATGAACGGTTATCATGATGTTGGTGGTGGTAATGATGATGATATTGATGATAATGCTGATAATGCTGATGAGGACGACCATCGATAGTGATGATGCTTATGATGATGATAATAATGATGATGATGATGATGATGATGATGATGATGATGATGATGATGATGATGATGATGATGATGATGATGATGATGATGATGCTGATGCTGATGATGAAGATGAAGATGGTGATGATATGGATGATTATGCTGATGATGCTGATGGTGATCACGATTGATAGTGATGATGGTGATGATGGTGGTGGTGATGATGGTGATGATGATAATGATTATGCAGACTTCCAGTGCGCTCGACTTCACGAGCCCGTGACAGATCAGGTACACGCTCGCGCGGCGCTGGCCTACACCAGTCAGAAGCCTCGCTTGGGAAGCGCGTTCCAGCTCAAATTCCCATGGGAGCGTTACTCAGTGTACAGGTGTGTTGCCACCTCGAGTCGGACAAGGAAGAGTGGATTTCGGGAGAGGGGCAGACGCGAAATCTGCTGCGGGCAGCTGCCTTCGGCTCCGACACTCGGCGCTTTCCTCGACATGCCGGGAGGCGTCAGAGAAACCAACGACGAGAGAGTCGCTCCCCTCCTTTTCTATCCTCCACTTGCGTCTGGTCCGATTGTCGTCGTCGGCGCCGGCGTCGTCGACGGCGTTGTCGGCGACGTCGCCGTCGGCGAGGGTCGGCGGGGGTCGGGCAGGTGTTTTTTCTTTACAATTTGTCATCTGGACACCCTTCTCGGGCCCGGGACCACCAGGAATCGATCCAGAGTGAAGAACTAGGTCGGGAACCAAGTTTGAGCGGAAGTCGTCGTCGTCGTCGTCGTCGTCGTCGTCGTCGTCGTCGTCGTCGTCGTCGTCGACGTCGACCTCGTTGTCGTCGATGTCGTCGTTGTTGTCGCCGTCGTCGTCGTCGTCGTCGTGATCGTCGTCGATGTTGACGTCGGTGTCGTCGACGCCGTCGTCGACGTCATTGTCGGTGTCGTCGGCGGCGTCGAGGTCGCGGTAGTGGTCCTCGTCGGTGCCTTCGTCGTCGACGTCGTCGTCGACGTCATTATCGACGTCGTCGGCGGCGTCGCGGTCGTGGTCGTGATGGTCGTGGTGGTGGTGGTGGTCGTCGTTGTCGTCGTTCTCGTTCTCCCTTGAGTTTTCGTGGGGGGGGGGGGGTTCGCGGTTTTGAGTTCCTCAGAAGTTCTCGGATGTTTCTAGAGGTCCTTGGAGGTCCTTGAAGCGTTATCGGCGTGGTGACCGTGGTCGTACTCGACCCGACCCACCCGCCGCCCCCGTGGGTCTGGACTCCCCTGGACACCTTATTTGTCCACACGTTTCCAGACGAGTCAGGACCCACCGAGTCGACTGGCTGGTCAGGTCTGGTCTGTCTGGTAGGAGGTCTCTGGTCAGCTGCGCGTCAGAGCGCATAAGAGTGACCATTCGCCAGAGAGACCGATCGTGCTGGCCCACAGGGTTTCCTCGAGCACTGGCTTGCTGGCTTGGATGCCCCCCCCCCACCTCTCCCGATGCCCCCCCCGCCCGAAAGCCGCGCACCCAAAGTTCGCTCTTGCATAGGGCCTGTCATGCGTGTAGCCGGTGTGGGCGTTCTTCCGCGATCCTTGTTTTCAAACACTTGCCTGCGACGAATCTAAGCCTCCTAGATGGGGTCGGAGTAGATGGGGTCGGAGGATCGCGCCGCATCGCCGATGCATCGACGATGGGGCTCGATGCGGAGCCCGATTTCCTTCACGCGGACGTCGACAATGCTTCGCCGACGTCGCCGATCCATCTCCGGTGCATCGCCGCTGCATCGCCGCTGCATCGCCGATGTATCGCCGATGAGGCGCGATCCGCCGACCCAATCTTCTCCGATACTATCTAGGAGACCTGTAACGAAGCACTGGTCCCGGGTGAACAAAGCCAGGTTGTCGTGGTCGTGGTAGTCGTCTTCGTGGGCGTGGTGGTGGTTGCAATCGTGGTCGCTCCCGCAGTGGTGGTGATGCTCGTCGCCCTTGCCCTCGACTTCCTCCAGGTTTTCGGACTATTTCGGAGGGTTTCTGAGATCCTCGGAGGTTCTCGGAGGTTTCTGGATAGTTATCTTCGGACGCTTTCGCCGCGTCGTCGTCGTCGTCCTCGTGGGTGTCGTCGTGGTCGCTCGCGGCCGTGGTCGTTCTCATCGTCGTGGCCGTCGTGGTGGTGGTGGTGGCCGTCGCCGTCGCCGTCGTCGTCGTCGTGTTTGTAGCTGTCGTGATCGTCTTCGCCGTCGTGGCCGTGGTCCTCCTCGTCGTCGCCGCCGTCGCCGTCGCTGTCGTGGTCGTCGTCGTCATCGTCATCGTCGTCGTCGTCGTCGTCGTCGTCTCGGTCGTCTTCGTCGTCGTCGTGGTCGTCGTCGTCTCGGTTGTCTTCGTCGTCGCGGTCGTCGTCGTGGTCGTCGTCGTCGTCGTCGTGGTCTTTGCCGCCCCCGTCGTGGCCGCAGGCTGCGGGAGGCGATGCACAGCGCGAGGGGCGACGACGGCGGCGGCGACCGCGCCGGGACCCCGGACGCCAGCTCCCGCGAGGGAGGCCCGGCTTGGGAGGAACGTGTCCGCTGATGCAGATGGGGCCGCCCTCCTCGTCCTCCCCCTCCCTTCCTCCTCGTCCTCCTCCTCCTCCACTTCTCTTCCTCCTCCTCCTCGTCCTCCTCCTCGTCCTCGTCCTCGACCTCCTCCTCCTCCTTTTCCGCAGAAGGATCGGAAGGCCTGTGGCCTTCCGAGAAGCTTGCGAAGCCCTTTCCGATCACACGGGCAACTTCTCAGGAGGCGCCTGGGCTTCTGAGGAGCCCCGTCGCCTCTGAGAAGGCCTGCTCCTTCTCACTTCTCCTCCGGGCGTGCCGCTGGGAAGTGCGTGTTAGCAGGTGGGGCCAGAGGACCGCCCTGCGCATCGCCACGATCTTCTCCACGCTGACGTCGCCGACGCATCGCCGACGTCGCCGATGCGCCACCCATGCGTCCGCGAGGCGGCGCGGTCCTCCGACTCCATCTGCTCGGACCCCACGTGGGATGCCTTCTAGGCATGCTCTGGCATTGTGGAGGTTCTCGGTGTTTCTTCGAATCTTCGAAGGGGAGGTGTCTTCGAGTCATCAGCCAGCATGCCAAGGGGAACCCGGCAGCGGCGACGATGAAGCCTCCTGGAGGGCCGCAGTGGACGAACACTGCGCCCAGGGTTCCCTCGATTCCCGAGCCTCGATCTTCGAGCCTCGATTCCTGATTTTCGATTTTCGCCAACCCTGATGTATCTTGAATATTTGGGAGGTTTCCTCGGGGAGGCTCCTCCGACCGTCTCTCGAGAGGCCCCCTCCTCGCTCCTCCTCGTCCTTCGAGGACCGTCGAGGCAGTCGCTATCTCCCCCCACACGGTCAAGGCGCTGGAATGGAAGAAGCTCCATTTTGGCCTCGGGAGCGGCTCTACTCTTCGGGGCGCTCCTTAACCCCAGGTCTGTAATGTTGCTGGAGCCCCCCCTCCCAAATCTCCTACCTGGCAATGAATTCTGCGCGTCCCATGGTTCGCCCTGTCCTTGTCCTTGTCCTTGTCCTCCTCCTCCTCCTACTCCTCCTCCTCCCCTTCCTCCTCCCCTTTTCCGCCTGGCGATAGTCCAGAGAGTCATTCTCCCATTATTCCTCATTATCTTGCTCTTTTTCCTGTTCAAGCTCTTCTTCCCTCCTCCCCCCCCCGAATCATGCTCGCACTATTGTTCGCTGTGCTGAATTATGTTGGGCGTTTTTCCCAACCATCCTGTGGTGTTGGGTCCTCGCTTTGAAGAGACGGTCCCCGCGTTCCTTTCCTCTTCTCCTCCTCCCCCCCCCTCCTCCTCTCCACCGCCCGCATGCGTCCCCCACACCCATTTCGGCACATCCCTCACACGCTTCGTGACCCCATAGGGAGCTCCACCGAAGGCCCCAGTGGGACCGCCCGCACGCGTCCCCCACACCCGATTTGGCATGTTCACCTTCCCAGTACAGCGTTTCGTGGCCCCATAGGGAGCTCCACCGAAGCCCCCAGTTGGACCGCCCGCATGCGTCCCCCACGCCCAATTTGGTATTTTCACCCACCCAGTACAGCGCCCCTCCCGTGACGGAGGGGGGGGAGAGGGTTTCGACCCTTCCCCCTCCCCCTCCCGTGACGGGTGGGGGGGTTCCGACCTCCCCCCACCCCCCCCCCCTCCCCCTGCTTCCCCTCTTCTCGGGCCTGCGCTTGCGTCGGCGGCGGCGACGGCGGCGGGGACGACGATTTCCATTTCTGGGCCGGCGCCGGCGCCTGCGGCGGCGGGCAGCGGTGGCGGGGAGCGTCGATGAGGACGACGGTGGTGGTGATGGTGGTGGCGGTGGCGGTGGTGGTCGTGGTGGTGGTGGTGTGGTGGTTTGTTGTGGTGGTGGTGGTTTTGGCGGTGGGTGGTGGTGGTTTGGTGGTGGTGTGGTGGTGGTTTGTGGTGGTGGTGGCGGGTTGTAGTGGTGGTGGTGGTGATTTGGTGGTGGTGTGGTGCTGGTTGGTGGTGGTGGTGGTGGTGGTGGTGGTGGTGGTGGTGGGTTGTGGTTGTGGCGGTGGTTTGTGGACGTGGTGCTGGTGGTGGTGGTGGTGGTGGCGGCGGTGGTGGTGGTGGTGGTGGTGGTGGTGTGGTTGTTTGTGGTGGTGGTGGTGGGTGGTGGTGCTGGTAGTAGTGGTGGTTGTGGCGGTGGTGGTGGTGTTGTTGGTCGATTGTGGTGGTGGTGGTGGCAGTCTTGGTGGGTTTTTGTGGTGGTGGTGGTGGCGGTGATGGTGAGTTGTGGTGGTGGTGGTTGTGGTGGTGGTTGTGGTGGTGTGGTGGTGGTGGTTGTGGTGGTGTGGTGGTGGTGGTTTGTGGTGGTGGTGGTGGTGGGTTGTGGTGGCGGCGGTGGTTTGTGGACGTTTGTTGTGGTGGTGGTGGAGGCTGTGGTGGTGGTGAGGTGGTTTGTGGTGGTGGCGGCTGGTTGTGCTGCTGGTAATGGTGGTGGTTGTGGTGGTGGTGGTGGTGGTGGTGGTGGTGTGGTAGATTGTGGTGGTGGTGGTGGTAGTGGTGTTGGGTTTTTGTGGTGGTGGTGGTGGTGGTTGTGGTGGTGGTGGCTGTGTTGGTCTTGGTGGTGGTTGTGTGGTGCTGTTGGTGGTGGTGGTGGTGGTTTGAGGCGGTGGTGGTGGTGGTAGTGATGGTGGTGGTGGTGGTGGTGGTGGTGGTGGTGGTGGTGGTGGTGGTGGTAAGTGTCGCTTCGTGCCCGCCGTCGCTGGCGCCAGCGCCGGCGCTGCTGGCCGCCGCCAGCGCGCGCCTGCGCCGGCGCGAGGGGGGGAGGGGGCCCTCGGCGCCACGGGGGGGGGGGGTTGAAACACCCCCCCTCCTGGGGTGCCTCTGGTCATTGTCGCTGCGTTCCCGCCGTGGGCGCGGCTGGCGACCGCCAGCGCCGGCGCCGGCGCCGAGGGGTTGGGGGTGAACCCGGCAGGGGGGGTGTTTGGGGGGGAGGGGAGTCCCCCTGGTTTTGATCGACGGCGCCGAGTGTTTGGGGGGAGGGGAAGGGGCCCCTCCCGGTTCGAAACGCGCCGCCGCATGTTCCCAAGGCAAGCGCCCGTGAAACGCGTTCTCTCGAATATTCAAAACGATAGACGCCCAGCCGTCTCGATTTGTTCGAGCCGCCGGATGTCTCGCATGCGATTTCTCGTTCTCCAAGAACCCCTGGGCCCCCCCAAAAAACTCGCCCCTTATCCTTATAACAGACGGGCAGCTCGGGTATACACTCCCAGGGGGCCGCTCGGAAGAACCCATATCGAGCAAGGACGCCCCACCATCGTACATCCCTGGGATCGCGACGCGCGTCGTCCTCCACGCGGGCGTGATCCCGGACAACACCCTAGGAGCGTATTTGTTCTAATTGCTATCTCTGCCTAATTGGTTTCTCTATCATGGGTTTTCTTTGGGTGATCTTTGGCTCTTATTCTGTGTTCTTACGCTCTCAACACGGGGTGGCAAACCCATTCCCTCTTCGGGGGGTGCCCTTCTTCCTGGTTTTTTCCTGGCTCCTTCCTGGCGGGGCGGGAACGTGTAACACCCCGGAGTTTCAGGGGAGGCCGTTGGGATTCCCTTGGGATCCCTCCCTCCCTCTTTGGGCTCCGGGGGCAGGAGGTTGTTGCGCCTGATCACCGCGCGACCTCTTCTTGGGCTCTGTATATGTCTCGCTTTCTGGCTTCCTGATCCTTCGTGGCCGCCACTCTTCTTGGCGTCTCGTAGGGGTTACCCGGATAATCCAGGACAGTATTCTAGAAGCTCAATCCTCTCCTGGGAGTCTTTTCCCTGGGGGATGTTAGCCGTATCGTGGCCGGGGTCTGGGCTCCCCCCCGTGCCCCTCCTCCTCCTCCTCCTCCTTGTCCCCCCCTCCCTCCTCCTCCTCCTCCTCCTCCTCCTCCTCCTCCTCCTCCTCCTCCTCCTCCTCCTCCTCCTCCTCCTCCTCCTCCTTCTCCCTCCTCTTTCCTGCCCTCCCCGTGGCACGGGGTTCCCAGGGCTGCCTCGTAACGGTTTACTCCCCCCTCCTGGGCGGGGGCGTTCTTTTATCGGGTTTGTTACCTAACAGCTTTTGCTGATAGGTTTCTAGTGGGGTCAAAAGAGAGCATCTGGACTCCACAGGGGGGTCTGGGCGGGTGCCGGGGAGGAGGGCCGGGAACAGAGCCGGGCTCGTTTTAAGCCAACAGTCACACACTTCGTGCTCTTCGACCTCCCAGAACTCCATTCCCGGGCCACATTTTGAATACCGGAGCCAACTGTAGGCCACTTCGTGCTCTTCGACTTCCCAGAACTCCATTCCCGGGCCACATTTTGGATGCCCGGAGCCAACTGTAGGCCACTTCGTGCTCTTCGACTTCCCAGAACTCCATTCCCGGGCCACATTTTGGATGCCCGGAGCCAACTGTAGGCCACTTCGTGGTCTTCGAGTTCCCAGAACTCCATTCCCGGGCCACATTTTGAATGCCCGGAGCCAACTGTAGGCCACTTCGTGTCTTCGAGTTCCCAGAACTCCATTCTGGGCATGATTTTGAATGCCCGGAGCCAACTGTAGGCCACTTCGTGTTCTTCGAGTTCCCAGAACTCCATTCCCGGGCCACATTTTGAATGCTGAGGCAGGCTGAGGCTGCTGAGGCTGAGGCAGGCTGAGGCTGAGGCAGGCTGAGGCTGAGGCCGAGGCTGAGGCAGACTGAGGCTGAGGCTGAAGCAGGCTGAGGCTGAGGCTGAGGCAGGCTGAGGCTGAGGCAGGCTGATGCTGAGGCAGGCTGAGGCTGAGGCTGAGGCTGATGCAGGCTGAGGCTGAGGCAGGCTGAGGCTGAGGCCGAGGCTGAAGGCAGACTGAGGCTGAGGCTGAAGCAGGCTGAGGCTGAGGCTGAGGCTGAGAGGCTGCAGGCTGAGGCTGAGGCTGAGGCTGAGGCTGAGGCTGAGGCTGCTGAGGCAGGCTGAGGCTGAGGCTGAGGCTGAGGCTGAGGCTGAGGCTGCAGGCTGAGGCTGGCTGAGGCTGAGGCTGGCTGAGGCTGAGGCGCTGA